TCTTTTGAGTAAACATGCATTTGCAGAATATAGAATGTGCATTTAGCACTAATGATTTCATACAGCCAAGACAAAAATATGCATTTAGAGAGGTATTGCATTTATAGAGGTTATATTTAGAGAGATCTGACTGTATATACTTAAAAAAGAAAATGGAAAAGAAGAATTTTTAATAGAGAAAAAAAAAATATTAGAAAAAGTAAAGACATATTTTGAGAAACAGTTTAGAAAAAGAAAGGTTAACTCTGAAAAGATAAATAAAAAATAAAAAAATATATAGACTAATCAAAGAAATCAATATAAAAGACTACAAAAATCTAGAGCAGAAGATAACAAAAAAAAAAATCAAAGAAAGCTTTAAGATATACAAAAAATAAGTCAACACTAGGGCCCACAGGGATTATATATTCTCTACTTAAAGAAACAGGAAAAAAGATAAAAGAATTATTTAAAAACTTGGCAAATAGCTGCTTAGCAAAAAGATATATGCTAAAAAAATAGAAGTTAAGTATGCTATATCTAATACTAAAAAGAAAAGACTAGTACTATAATTTGAACAATATGAGACCAATCCTGTCACTAAAAATATTTCACAAAACAGTAGTCAGAGTTCTAAATAACAGGTTAAGCTAAATATTGTAAAAAAAAGAAATATTAAAAGAAAGAAACTTTGCAAGCCTAACAGAAGAAGAATAGCAGTACCAATATATCTAATTAATTGTCTGCTAGAGGATATAAGAGAATACAAAAAAAAATTTAGTTACTTTTCCAGAATATGAAAAAAGTTTTTGATTCAGTTAGTATAAAGATATTAGAAATAGAGAATCTCGGATATCTCTGATATAGGTCATAACTGAGTTTTGGTCAAATTTAATTGAATTTGCTAAAAACTAAAAAACTGCATTTTCTTAAATAACTTTTAATCTAGTAATTAGAATTGAATGAACTTTTTTTTGTTAGATGCGCCTCACTAAGAACTTTCATTTAAAAAAAAGTTCATCCAAATTGGACTACTAAATGCTGAGATAATTGCAAAAACTAATTTTTTAATTTCTAAATTTCAGATATTTTTGCTAAAACATATAACGTATAACTCTGTACTATATATCTGGAGTCCTAGAAATAGTATTAGAAAAGATCAAATTATTACAAGCTACAAAGAGTTTATCCTACAGCTTTATTACACAAGAGAAATAGAAATAATAACAAGTTTTGGAACTACAGATGCAAAAAATAGTATAGACCAAAGAGAAGTTATATTACCCCTAATATAGATAATATTCTATAACTCTTTACTAGTTGCAATCTAAAAAAAGAAGAAGGTATGGTACCAAATAGTAGTAGATTGGCCAAAAAAAATTATAAGTAATACAATTTAATAGCATAGCCTTAAAATAGAGATAATAGTATACACAGATAATATAATATATATAGTAAGCTCTAAAGAAGACCTAGAGAAAATGATCAAGATTACAGAAGAATTTTATAAGATCAATAATATAAAAATTAACTCAAAAAGTCTGAGCTATTAGTTATAAAGCCAGAAAAAGAATACAAGAAAAACAGTATAAAAATCAACTTTGACTCAAACAAAAAAATGATGACAGAAAAAAAAAAAAGGTTTAACAAAATTTTTAGATATATAGCTAGTAGCCAAAAATAGAAACAAGCAAATAAAAGATATTATCCGATACCCTACTATGATCGGGACTATCAAATAACTTCAGTTATTTGATAGTTTTTTACATATAAAAGCTAACTTTAAAATTTAATAAAAAATAGTTTATATACAAATTAATTTATTTATTTATTTCCTATATCTAACACTATTACGCTGCAATTATATAAATTAATGCTTTTTTCATTTTTTATAATTTTTACATATTTTGCATTAATATTATAGTAATTTTTAATAACTGTATTGCTATTATTCAATTCTGGCCCTTGATCACAAACTTGATCATATTTGTTTTTCAAAATTTCTGCTCCCGAATATGATAGTTCTGAATGTGATAGTCCTGAATATGATGGTCCTGAATGCGATAGTTCTGAATGTGATGGTCCCAAATATGGTAGTTCTGAATGCGACTTTTCTAAACATGATGGAAGGTTTACTTTTAAAGAAGCTTTCAAGGATGAACGAAATGGTGCGAAGACTGAAGGCCAAGATGATATTGCTGAATTTGTTCGTTTGCTTAAAACTTGTTTGCGATTATTGTTGGCCATTACTTGTTTTTGCGAATTGTTTGAGAATTCATTATATTCATTTAAAACTTGTTCATGCGAGTTACGTAAAAGTTCGTTATTACTTGAAGGTTCCTAATGAATAAAATATTAAACCGAATATTTTTTTTAAATAAATAAAAAAAAAAACTTTACCTCTAAATTATTCAAAGGTATCAATCCAACATTATCTATTAACAATAATAATGCATCTTCCCTTTGTTGATTTGATGGTTGTGTATAAATACGATATGATGATTCACTTTTATATCCAGTTAAAGACATAGTTGTAACTATTGGCACTCCTTTTTGGAATAAAAATGTAATTGGAGTTGATCGTCCAGAATGATTAACAATATCATGACCATTAATATCAATTCCAACAGCAATACAAATATTTTTCATAAGAGATCTATATGTATTTTCACCTAATTGAATATTGTAAAACTATGAATTTTGCGCAAGATCTAATAAAAATTAATAAAAAAAATAATAAAAAGTAAAATAAAAATAGATATATATAATTTATTACCTTTTGCTTCTTTATTAATACGTAAATACAATGAATCGCAACTTGAGTTCAATGGTCTTTTAAAAAAATAAAATTTAAAATCATGCATGGGCCCTTGATAACCCTCCATATTAGGTGGTACACGAATAATTAAGGCATCAGAATTTCTATCAACACCCTTTGATCATTTTTTTGAAAATTCTTCGCAAAATGAATACTGCCATTAGGTATAAAAGTAAACTGCTTAATTAAAATTTTATAGTGCTCCCACCACAGGGTTGGAATAGAAGACAAGACCATATAAAAATTCTGTAAATCAATCCTTGTGGAGTATCAATTGAAACTTTTTCATGCTGAAATATCTTTTTTAGTTCATCATCCGTCAAATGATTATGATGCCGTGAAACAATTCCTTTTTTTTTAATTGTTTTATTTTTCCATTTAATGCCTCCCACAGTTGTACAAATTCTTGTTGATTTCCTAAATTAAACTTCTTAGTTCCTTGGGGATGCTTTAAAATATATACACTTAGTAACCTA